TCTTCCACCCAAACAAATGCAATGTGTTGTCGGTGACTAAAAACAAAACTCCAATAGTCCATAATTATACTTTACATGGACACATACTGGAACATCTTAGTCAGGCCAAGTATCTGGGTGTAACACTATCATCTGACCTTAAATGGGATTCACATATAAATACTATCTGCCCAAAAGCAAATTCTACGCTAGGCTTTTTAAGACGAAATCTTAAAATTGGCTCAACATCAGCCAAAGTACAGGCATACAAATCATTAGTTCGACCATCACTTGAGTATGCCTGTACAGTATGGGACCCTCACACCCAAACAAATATTGACAAGTTGGAAATGGTCCAGCGAAGGGCAGCGCGCTATGTGCTCAATAAGCACAGGTACAACCATCGTACCTCCAGTGTGTCAGAAATGTTGGACCACCTAAAGCTGCGCCCTCTAGCAGATAGACGTAGAGATGCTCGTCTGACCATGCTTCATAACATTGTAAACCAGAAAGTCGCTATCGTAAAATCAGACAGATTAATCCCTACAGTTAGAAAATCCCGAACAAACCACCAGTTTTCGTATCAAATTCCCCACTCAAAAACCCAGACCAGAAAGGCATCATTCTTCCCTCGAACTATACCCGAGTGGAATAAACTCCCACCTGACATTATTTCGAGCCCCACAAAGGAATTATCCAAATCAGCCCTCTACCGTCACCTTTCAAACACAAATTAGACCATCTCGTATCTTTTAAAAACACTCTCTTTCCATGTTTCACTCCTCGTCTGACATTTTATCTTCAAATTGTTGAAGTTGGTCAGTACCATTTAGAAGTAGAAGTAGAAGAGTGTTAATAAATACTATTTACATTTGCTCTGCATCCTTCCATTGCAATGTATTGAGAAGGTAAATGTTAATTGACTATAACAACATTTGCTATTGTAACGTCATCAATCTCTATTGTGACGTCACCAATTTCATTGTTGTCAAGACTTAATTTTCTGTTCAAAGAACTGTTCAAAATAACAAAATAAACAGTAACTACTTATCAAAATGTAAATATAAGTAATGAATATTTTCGCAAATATTGTTATGGCCCTACAACACACATTTCTATTGTTGACAAACTTACATAAAGCCCTACCAAGCTTGATTAAGTTCGTCAAGGGAGTTTCCAGAAACAGCAAAAGCAAAAGTACAGTGTGGTTATTGTGTAAAAGGGATCGAGTAGAGATTCAAAATTTGTGATGAACACGGCGGATTTCCACAGATTTTGAATGGATTTCATTTTTGTAAGATTAAGTCATGACATCAGCAGGAAAAAGTACTCAACTGACAGAAAACTAACCAAGAAAGAACTAGTTGTCTCCTATTTTCACTCGTCCATGACAACCAGACAAGTACTTTTCCCGACCCCCGCCTCCTACCTACCCTAAATTTTTCAAACATTTTGCAAGAAACATACCTATTCTATTGTTTGCCCTTAATAATCAATTTTCTTCAATAGATTATCAGTTTGGAAATATGTAATATCCAAGTTTTACTTGATGCACAATCAATGTATGTATTTAAGGTGTCGTAACGTTTCAAGACCGACTGGTCCCTTGTATCATTTACCTGTACGATGATGTAACAAAATTGTTGTATGTCATTGTACAGGTAAACAATACATATTGCTGGATCACTCAGTCAAGGGACCACTTTTAATACGTACATTAATTGTGTATAAAGTAAAACTTGGATATAAATAATCGATTGCTTACCGTGAGTTAGATGTTTATGCCGTACTGCGGCGTCCGGCGTCCGTCCGTCAACTTTTTCTTTTGAATGACTTCTTCTGAAGAACTGTAGGACCTAGGGTCATGATATTTGGCCAGTAGGTACCTGGGATGGAGTGCTATAAAGTTTCCTCATTAAAATGACCTTGACATACTTTCAAGGTCACAGCGGTCAAATATGTGAAAAATTTCAAACAACAATATCCTAAGAACCATTTGAACTAGAGTCATGATACTTGGGTATGTTATGTAGACCAGCAGTGTGAATATTTTTCTCATTGACAGTTATGAGGTCAAAGGTCAACTTTAAATGCTAGTGGGGGGTTCAAATGTCAACTTTGGTTAAAATCTTTAACAATCTTCTTCTCAAGTTCCATTAGGCCCAGGGTCATGATATTTGGCCAGTAGGTAGCTGGGATGGAGTTCTATATAGTTTCCTCATTAAAATTACCTTGACCTACTTTCAAGGTCACTGGGATTAAATATGTTAAAAACTTCAAACAACAATATCCTAAGAACCATTTGAACTAGTGTCATGATACTTAGGTATGTTATGTAGACCATCAGTGCAAATCTTTTTCTCAATTACAGTAATGATGTTAAAGGTCAACTTTAAGTGCAAGTTGGGGTAAAAGGTCAACATGAGTCAAAGGCTTTAACAATCTTCTTTTCAAATTCCATAAGGCTCAGGGTCATGATATTTGGCCAGTAGGTACCTGGGATGAAGTGTTATAAATTTTCCTCATTAAAATTACCTTGACCTACTTTCAAGGTCACTGGTGTCAATTATGTTAAAAACTTCAAACAACAATATATTAAGAACCATTTGGACTAGAGTCATGATACTTGGGTATGTAATGTAGACCAGCTGTGTGAATTGTTTTCTCTATTACAGTAATGAGGTCAAAGGTCAACTTTAAGTGCAAGTCGGGAGTCAAAGGTCAATATGAGTTAAAAGCTTTAATATTAAAATTTCAAGTTTCAAACAACAATATCTTCAGAAACTTTTAAGAGATGTTAAAATGTCTTGTGTTCTAGTTACCAAATTTGGTCTTAAGTTACCTATATGTCAGTTGCATGTAACAAAAGAAACAGGTGAGCGATACAGGCCCTCTGGGCCTCTTGTATTCCCACAATACAAAAAACTTTACTAAAAATGGTATGATGCCATGTCACATGAAATATCCAAACTGTTGTTCACAGGTGTTGTAAAATCTACTTTACATCGGTAAATTTGTCGTCCAGTCAAACTTTCACCCTTTGCCAGAACAATCCATATTTGCCCAGTGTTAATTTCGCCCTTCACATGTTAATTCTATGTAATTTGCCCACATTACGGTTTGCGAAAGAGGCGAAAATTTAACTACAGCAAAAATTTCCCTGAATACAGTATTATCTCCTTGTTTAGTTGTAGTGATATTAATGTAATTCTCATTCATTGTTGCACATGCAAATAACATTTACTATCTCATGGCATTGCCACTACATAACTCTACCGAATTCAGTTGGCATTCATATAGGCTATGAATGCCATCGAGCGATTGTTGATGTCATCATTATTATGACGTAATAATTGTTATATTGGATACCTCTGACCCTCCCTAAGCAAGGCTGTTCTATTCATTGAACAAGTATACATGATGCATACATTATTTGAATTAAACGCTGAATAATGATAAGTGTAATTGAATTTTCTATGAGGTGAACAGATTCCAAAAACGGTAAATATAAGTGTTGAACTGCTTTCAGTTGGCATTCATAGGCAATATGATATCCAACTGGACAAAGGCAAATCCAACACGAAGCGCTATCTAGCGTGCTTCATTGAATTTGCTTTTGTCCAGTTGGAATTCATATAGCCTATGAATGCCAATTCAACTGAAAGCAGTTCAGTGCGCTTGAATATCAGCACTTTAGAGTACCTAACTTGCAGGTTTTATAAGATGAACAAACTTCAGATTTGCTTGTCAATTTAAGGACCAAGGTTGAGGGAGGGAGGGACATAATGATGCTTAATTGTAAATACAATCCACTAAACTTACAACCGCCTTTGTTTTTCAGACATCCAGGAGTGGAAAAACATGTTTTGTGAAGGTTCACGCTCCGTGGGACGTCATGACTAAATATGCTGAATTGACCAACCTCAAAATGCCCCTAGCGGTCAGTATTACGTCATTCTACTGCAGTTCATGTTAACCCTTTCACCACTATAGATCATAATGCACTCATCCATCTCAATGCCTGGTAGAGTCTACTTAAGTTACATAGGGGTGAAAGGGTTAAACGCAATTCATCAACCAATGAGATCAAAACCTATATTTTAGCCTTATATTTCACTTGAACCCATTTGTTATTAAATGTCTATAGAACATGTGTAAGTCTACCATTCAGCACTAGATACGCTGGGACTTGTGCAAGTCTACGTGTAAACGTGATGTTGAAGTACAGTCCGTCATTGTATTTCGTCGTCGTCAGAAAGAACTCAATCTGAATACATTTTATTTTCAAAAACAATGTAGTATAAGTTTAAACATTTTAATTTTTCAGTATTTTTTAATTCAGTCAATACACCAATAACTCTGCAATGGTGGGGTTGATTAATAGAATCTTTCACCCCCTTGGGGGTGAGATAGGAGAATCTCAACCCGAGGGGGAGGATTCTTAAGTTGCCAAACACGAGGCTTTGCAGAGTGTTTGGCAACTAAAGAATCTTTCCCGGAGGGTTGAGATTCCACTATCTCACCCACAAGGGGGTGAAAGATTCTTTTTCTCTTACCCTGTTCTTTCATTGTGTATCATATGCACAATGTACTGATAACGTTACATGCTAAATTCAGGGTTGACGTGACGTTGATGGATTGTTGACGTGACGTCATTGTATTGTTATGTGACGTCATGCCATTGTTAGGAATAGGGGAATCCCCCCGTCTCAACCCAAGGGTGAGCCAAGGAAATCTCACACAGGTAAAAATGCGGATACACCTGTCCAGGGTAAGAGAATACCAAATAAAAGTAATACTCATTCTAACACGATTCGTTTGCATCGCGTGTTTTGATTGGATAGGGGCCATGTTCTGATCTGCAATAGAATCATGATCAATTGTGTTAAGCTCCTCCCATCGCACTAAAATAAGCCATGCCCCGTTTCTAACCAAAATAATATGGCGTCAAGCTCGCCTCTTAGCGAAATCCCGCTGATAAGGCTAGCAGGCAAAAGAACAGAAAGGACCAATGAAATGTGTTTGTTGAATAAATTAAAAAATAAAAGATCCTTGGTCTTACCTCCATTTATTACTGAAACGTTGGTTCCATCCGTGTGAAGCGTCTAGACACAAAACTCTTCACAAATCTAAACAAATACTCACCGATATTTTTCGATACTCACAGATTGGCATGCATGATGACATGGAAATGTAAGAATTTGGTCAATATTAATCCAAATGTGTCGGTTAAACTTCGGTAACAGGACGTTCACGAACAATCCCAGGGTTAGACACTAACTTATTTTTGCCTGGTAGTCTACAGGACTAGTTGAATAGATTGTATTAGTAGTCCTTCGTCAATGTAACTAGTCCAAGATTTCCTGATAAGGACACATCGCGATCTACAGCACGAAACATTAAAAGTAATCAACTATAGGGACTTGAAATAATTACTGCCATAAAAATATGGTGAAGTTTTAGGAAAATTTTGACAATTATCATGCAATATATCTTATTTTTAGCTGTGTTCTAAATTTTATAAAGAAGTTGTCTTATTTCATAATAATATTTTTCACAAGTCCAAAGGACCAGTTAGGTTAGGTGATTCACTAGTCCTTGTTGAAATCTACTAGTCCAGGACTAGCGGACTAGTGTTAGTGTCCACTCCTGAATCCAAATAGTCCGCCTCCTCAACATACAGATCGAGCCCTCGCCAGTATGGGCGGGGCCAAATGACCAACTTTTGAAAGTTTCTTTCTGATTGGTCAGTCCGCTGCAGAATGACACGTTGCCAGCATAGTTCACAAAGTACTTTACTACATGTACTTGTAGCAAAGAAATACAATGTTTCTAAACACATGAGCGCAGTATATTTGTTAAGGTGTGTTAGGATGCGGATAGTACATTGTAATTCGTGTCTAAACCTATTGATCTCAAGTTCAAACCAAATTTCGTGTCCTAATCGCCAGTATAGCCACTCAAAACAACGTACTATCCCCTAACTAAACCATGTCAAGTTTGACTAATTTCATGCACACACATACTTGCGAACAGTTTGAGATTTCTTTGAGGGAGATTTTGCATACTCAAAATCGAAAATATCAATCAAGTGTGTGCGCATACCTCCTAGAGACAAAATAACCCTTTAAAAGGACATAATTTGAGTTGTCCTCTCAGATGAAATCATTAGACCTTCGAATGAAGAAATAATTTAGCAAATTAACCGTTTGCAAATACTACATTTAAGGGTCTAAAATCGGAAGTCTCCCTCCTTCCTAAATAGGAAGAGTTGGTTAGAAATATTAGATAATTAATTGCAATTAGTAATGAGTGGATTTTAATTAGTAATGAGTGGAATTTAATTAATAATGAGGGGATTTTAACTAATAATGAGTGGATTTTAATTAGTGAACCGCTTTTGAGAACTAGGTTGTGATAAAGCGTTATAAAAGAACCTCAAATTATTATTATAATAATTGTTATTTGGTGACTTTCTCTAATGTTATTGTACACATTCTTAATCATTGTTATGTTACAAAGATATGGAATAAGTCATGGTCATCCGTCTGTTTAAATTAACAGGAAAATGACTTGGAGTTTGAGCTTGAATCGTACATGGAGTACTGCTGGAATATGTTCCCGTCTGTCTTTGAACTTGATGCGGATATCGTCAAACCGGAGCCGAACTACTTCACCGCTCCTTTTAACCGAGACCGTCAGGACCAGTAAGTACTTAAGGCTGTATTTAATTAAAGATAATCATAATTTTAATTTTTCTTCTTTCAGATTATTAAAGATATGACTACACCAATGTTAAATGGGAAGAACTGTATTTTTATTAAAATAATGAAAAGGATATGAATGATCATTTATTCAAAAACTTTTGCATTGAAGAATTTTTTGGGGGGAATATTAGTGAAAAATAAGTAAGAAAGATTTTTTTATGGAAATGGAATAAAGGATTTTTCTAAAAAAAAATGTTTCTAGGGGCATTTTTTTTTTATATATATATATAAAATATGTTTATTTCTGATTTAAATAATTTTTGCTTACTAAATTTTTGGTGGTAATAATGGCAATATTTTTCTGAAGAAGTGGAATGATTTGATAAAATTTACATCACGCTGGAATATATCTCCATGTTTGTTGTTATTATTATTATTATTATTATTATTAATTTCCCATGTAAAATGTTGTCCTGTTCCGATCAGCACCATGAAGATGTTTTCATAAATACTTGTTGTTATAGTTACTTCATCATTTAAAGTTGGTTTATTTGGTTACCATGTTACATCACTTACACTTTCAACACTTCTGAGATATTGTTGTTTTCACATTTTCAGTTTCTGAATTCGTTTTTAACCACTGCTGAAAATATTTAATGTTTTTCTCACTGTTTGTAAATACTTTCTGAACTACAACTGTTTTAAACTGAACTTTTCCCCCATAATTTTCATGATATTGTCCACAATTTGCAAACTTAGATAAAATACTCTGGTATATTATATAGATTATATGTTGAAATTTAAGAGAAATTTAAAAAATAAATCATTGTTGATTTTTTTTTTTTATGATTTAAAAAAACAACAGAACATGGGAGACAAACAGCACACGATTGTTTTGTTCCGCACTATTTTGATTTTAGTTTTTGAAATTATTTTTGTTTAACTGCCAGATTTCTTAAGACCTATAAGAAGATTGAAGCTTTCGATCGTGATGACCCGGCGTTGGTATTTTTGTTGCATGATAAATTTACATTTCAGAATATTTTTTAAAGCTTTTATCCTTTGTTCCATTTTGTTTTAATGTCACGTGTCCATCTTTAACGGTTGACGTATTTGTGGCTGCATATTGTGACTGCACCTTGCTCGTCACTTCCACACACGGATATTCCTGGCATGACATCAGGAAATGTTCAAATGGTCATTTTCAAAAATTTGTAACTTTAATTACTTTTAGATTTTTTTAGATTTTTTTTTTAGTTAATACATGTTTGTATTAACAGTTTTTTAATACTTCTCAGTTTTTCAAATGAACTAAGGAATCGTGTGACAATTGAAAATTTAAAAACAAAAAAAGAGAAATAAAACCAGAAAAATTCATTAAATGCGTCATAAACATTGACTTCTAGAAGTTTAAAGCGAATAAAAATACTTAAGTCTACCATTCCTTGAAAATCCCCTAAATTTAAGTGTTAAAAGTATTTTTAAAGTGAGAGATACCATTGTGCTATGACTTTTCAAGTTTTGTTTTGTAAGAAAACTGATTCCATTGCATGCTTTGTGTTCAATGACAATAGAGAATATGATGCTTGTGTCTCACATACACTTGTGGGACTGCTGGCTAGCTGGCTGAGGCTTGGCTGAGGCTGGGCTGAGGCTGGCTGGGGCTTGGCTGTGGCTGGCTGAGGCTGGCTGTGGCTGGCTAAGGCTGGCTGGGGCTTGGCTGGGGCTGGCTGAGGCTTGGCTGAGGCTGGCTGAGACTTGGCTGAGACTGGCTGAGACTGGCTGAGGCTTGGCTGAGGCTTGGTTGAGGCTGGCTGTGGCTGAGGCCGCGAGGAGTCAAAATTGACATTTGCATGGCTTCTTGTTGTCATTTATCAAACTATAACCATGCGATTGTTTTTCAGAAATTAATCATTTCACAACATTATGGTAAAAGCTGGAATTAAAAAGTATAAAAGCTGCTGCCAGGAATCAATAATCAAGAATCTATCGCGATCTGTCTTCATCTGTTGTCGTCTGTCGTACACTAATAATTTACGCCTAACAAAGTGTTCTAATGTATCTAGTCCATTAACTCATTCACCCCTAAAGACGCATTTGAACTCTTCAAATTCAAAGATTGGAAAAGTTCATCATGAAATTTTAGACGTGAATGACTTAAACTCAAATCTGTCTGTCTCAGCCAGCATTTTTACAACCTATTTCAAACTTCAACTCAAGTTGAACTGTTGGTATTGTTCAACTATGGCCTGAAGCATGATAAATTGCTCATCGTTTGGCCCTGGCGGTTCGGCCATCTTTATAAACTGTATAATGGAGATGAATATAAAAGAGAAATAAAACCCACGAAAAATTCATTTGAATAATTTTTGGTTTGTTTTTGCTGCAGTCATGTAGGGTTTTGAACAATCTTGTTTTCCATACATTCATTTTGAACGTTATTTATTAACAACAAAAATAACTGCAGTATAACTCAGGTGGCCATTTAAGACACAAGAGCTCCTTGCTTATAATGATGTGGGATTCATATGCAAGAATTATTATTTTTTTATTTTTTGCATTTAAATGTCATCTAGGCAATGATTTTGTTTGATTTTCTTGTGATAAAAGCTTACAAGAAGGTAGGAAGGAGTCACTCATTTTTTCCACTTAGTTACATAGAATATCATTATTAATATATACTTTTTTGTAGTCTTGCATATCATTATTAATATATACTTTTTTGTAGTCTTGCACATTCATATTTTGAAATTTAAAAAAAGAAATTTTACAGGGTTTCAATTAAAATTTTTAAAGGCTTTTTTTTTCATTTGACGAATCTAATGTTTCCATGTTGTTTCACATTTTGTCTGAGAAAATGTTCAGAAAATTTCTCGAAGGAGCTTTGAGAAATTGAATGGTATAATTTTATCATACTGTGTTTTTATTTGTTTGGTCGTTATATTTGTTTTCAGATTTATCTTATTTCTAAAATTATCACACTTACTGAACATTCCAAAAATGGCTAACACCTGAACCAGTAGGCATTTTATATCTATTGATGAAATGTCTTTGTGATGCATTACAGTACAGGGTACCACAACATTAGTGACAATTATGAAAAAGATTTCCACTTTTTTTTCTCTCTTCAACTTGGTTTATTATCCTATAACAGAAACAATAACTCAAGTTTTCCAGATTAGGGTTATTTCCCTTGTCAAAGTATTCACCTCTCATTTTGATGCTATGCATGTTTAATTCCTTGATAAAAACAGCAGTGGTAAGCTGTAGAGTTGGCAGTAGATAGGTTCTTAGTTTGATTCCTCTAGTTTTTAGTTTTTCAAACATCTTTATCTAGGCAAAATTCATAACCAGACCTGATTTGAATGGATTTTTTTTTTACAGTAATTATATAATTTAATGTCATGGTACCTTTTACCTTATATCTTTAAAAGTACATACAAAAAAAAATCACCGTAATGGTTTCAGTTATAATGAGGATTTTAAAAGTCATGATTTGAATAATTCATTAAAATATCTGTATGTTCAAAATCATTTTCTTTTCGATAAACAGAATGTGTGATAATTTGGTATACAAATTTATGTTTGATATTTTGTAATCATTTTGAAATTTTTAATATAAGTCTCTTTCATGCCCAGGGGTTGTAAGATAGGAAAATTCCACTCAAGGGGTTTTCAATTTGGTAAAACCCAAGGCTTTGTCAAAAGTTTTGCTAAATTTGAAAATCCTGAGGGAGGAATTTCTCTATTCACATCCCTGGGCATGAAAGAGTATTTTTCTCTCATTCCAACTACCAGAATAAGCTCAGAAAGCATGAAAATGCGTTTGGACTTGCTACCATTTAAAAAAATATCAACTTTTCCCCAAAGCTCTTTTGACGAAAACGAATCTGTCAGCAAGATTTAGTATACCCCATATTTGAAAACTTAAAAAAAAATGACCTCATCTTTCTAGCTTGTACGGTCAATATGTTGTAAAAGGTTTTATTTTAATCATGTCGCCTTTTCCGCATCTCGGCATCAGAGTTTTCCAAATTCGTGACGTCGGTGCGCGTCATTGTTGAGCCATTGTGACATCACGATGATCACATCACTTGAAACGGGGTATAAGATAGAATTTTTTTACACCCCTTTCTTACCCTGGACTGTTCTGTCTTACATACACGGAAATGAGAGAAACATATTTCTCCCACAACCATTAGGTTTCTTCACTCCCCGCTCATTGGCTAAACCTGTTAGGAGGTTGTAGACAATTTTGGTTACCCACTAGTGTGTAACACCCAGGACGCGATATAATTGGTCAGTTTTCTAATTATGACGTGAAGCAACAATGCTTTGCAATTTCATCTTAGATTGTGACATCACAGTTCATGACAACTGTTTCCCCCGATCTGAACAAGAATGATGTAATCCTAAGAGAACAATACGGTTTTCTAAAAATAATATCTAAACGTTATCGGAGAAAAAGGTCCCAAAACTTGTGATGGTTGATTAGCATGTTCATCTAATTCTCAAATTTTATAGACACTCGTTAAACCTTGTATCTTTATACAATTTTAAGAATTAAGTAACTCTCGTTAGATAAACATGATAAACAACTACAGTATCACTTGTTGGGGGACCCTATGTTCATATATATGTATATATATATATATGCTAATGAGTTTGATTTATAATTTTAATATGTTTTAAATTTTTCTTTTTTTCTCAACAATTCACATCAACTCTCATTCATACAACAGAGGGCTGTAAGACGCTTTGCTTTTTTTTGCATAATTGAGAAAAAATATCCCACAGTATAAACATGTATGCATATCTCTGCCTGCTTATAAGGTGGTGGTGGTGTGACTCATTTACTAACCCAGGAAACACAGATAGATAATACAATATCTTATCATTTTAACAATTATTTTAGATATTTGTGCATCATTTTATTTTATATACATATATATATATGTGACAGGAAGATTGAAAATATGAATAAAAAATTCCAGAAAACTTACATATTGATTCTAATAAGAATTTCATATACATGTACCAGGATAATTCTTGTATTTTTGAAATTTTTATTTCAAGGCAATGTTAGTGGTTAATTAAATCCTTCTATACATTTTAACAAAAAAAAAGAGAAAACAGAAATAATTTAAAATTATTTTAGGATTTAAGGATTTTTTTTTATTATTTTTTTTTAATTGAAGATAGTAAATTCTGAGAAATTGTGAAAACAAATAGTTTATTAATTGAGTAAAAAACAAAATAACAAAAACAAGAAACCCAAGATAGATTTTTGATTATTTAACCCAAGAATTATCAAGCAAGAGACTGAATTATTTTAGAGTGAGGTCTCATTCTTCGATTTTCATCATGTCAATTTCCAGTTTATAGGTTTAGTGAGATATTTGTCATCTTTAAAAACAAATTGTTTGATATGAAAAATATGTTCCGTGAAGTAGAATGACTTATAAAGAATTTGAACAATGCTTGCTTGCTTGCTTGTTGAGTTGACTTGAAGGATTTACTTGCTGAAGAAAAATCCAGTTTGCTTCTTTTTTTTTGCTTAAAAGAATTGCCAGTTTTTAGATTCACAACTCAGTGTGTCAGGAACCCTAAAGGATTACTCTAAATTGTTAACATCCTGCTTGTCACAAGCTCAAATACAAATTCTTTTTGATTCCTAAAAATCAAGATCATTCTACAATAGAAATATACAGTACATGACCAAATGTATTTTCACCACCTATTATTGTATTTCATGCATTTCTTTTACAAAATTTTCCAGAGTTCATTTGTAGTTCCTTTAAAATGAAATTTTACATCATGAAAGAGAATTTTCAGAATTTATGTATATTTCTGTTTCCAGGATATAAATATGGTGAGATATTCTGGAAAAATGGAAAAAACTTTACCACACATTTTTCTTCATCTTACCAAATGATATAAAAAAACTGTATTTCGTGGCACTTGTCATACAGAGACATATGAAAATATTACTAAAAGCAGA